GGAGATGACATCATGAGCAACTGACCATTCTGATGATAAAGGAGAAGCATGAAAACATGTGCCCCTTTGCCTCAGTTTCCCTGAATAATGGACATCTCTCAGGGTGAAAGCATGTGCCCTTTAACCCAGCTTCCCCAGATAACTGGTGTTTCTCTGTTTCTCTTCCATAGCATGTTTGATGTTGGAGGCCAGCGAGACGAGAGAAGAAAATGGATCCAGTGTTTTAATGGTGAATTGCGTGCTCCGGAGCTGCATGCTGGCTTTCACCTCTGTGTCTAGCTGCTGCCCTTTAATAAGACAAACTCTAACCATGTGTAGATAATAATTATAAATAACCATGTTCTCCTTAAACATGAATCTCATCGAGAATGTAAGCATCCCACATTTCCCGTTATCTTTTTTGGGTAGACCCCTGGTCAAATGCAACAATGCCCAGCTCTGCATACAGCCTGTATTCGAGTCATTCTAGATGTAATCCCCAAATGACAGTGTCTGAGACCTGCACAGTCATAACCCCAGAACAACTGACGATGTCCATCTGAAGTGCTTCCCTTTCCCTCTGTGTCCCACCGTAGATGTCACTGCCATCATTTATGTGGCAGCCTGCAGTAGCTACAACATGGTGATCCGGGAAGATAACAACACCAACAGACTTCGGGAATCCCTGGACCTGTTTGAAAGCATCTGGAATAACAGGTAATGAGTAAATTCAGACTCAATACTAGATCGAAGACCTTGGGTTAAAAATATCTCCTGAAGACTCTGGATGTTTTGTTACTGTTGCTATTGTTGTTAAAAGTATCCACTTTAGCCAAGTATGTGAGCACACACCTGAAACATTAGGAAGGCTAAATCAAAAGATTCAGAGTTCAAGACTAGCCTGGGCAACATAGCTAGACCTTGAAAACAAAAGTATGAAGCGGAGAAGGTTCACTGAGTAAACTGTATGCTTATGCAAGCATGAGGACTTGAATTTGAATCCCCCAGCTCCCAAAAAAACAAAAAACACTGAACATGTCCATGAGTACCCATAACCCAAAAATAGGGAGGCAGAGACAAGCAGATTTTTGGAGCTCCCTGGCCAATCACCCTAGCCAAAATGACAAACAGTTCAAGGAATAGACCCTGTCTCAAAACTAAATAGAGAATGATTTTGTAAAGTGCCTGGATATTAGCCTCTGGCTTCCATGGATTCCCCCACATGCATGTGCACACACACCTATAAATCCTGTCTTAGTTAGGGTTTTACTGCTGTGAACAGACACCATGACCAAGGCAATTCTTATAAGGACATTTCATTGAGGCTGGCTTACAGGTTCAGAAGTTTAGTCCATTATCATCAAGGCAGAAAGCATGGCAGCATCATGACAGGCATAGTGCACAAGAAGCTGAGTTCTGTATCATCATCTGAAGGCTGCTAGCAAAATACTGGCTTCCAGGCAGCTGGGATGAGGGTCTTAAAGCCCACACCCACAGTGACACACCTACTCCACCAGGTCCATACCTTCTAATCATGCCACTCCCTGGGCCAAACACAGACAAACTATCAAAACTCCTAAGCTTCAATAAGTCTTTCACCCCATCTAATAGACATACTTACCATGAGGAATATTCTCTGATGGAGCTCTTACAGGTGCTTGGCTAGAATGATTTCAATCTGTTCTAAAAGTCTCAGGTTATATCTGGAATTGAAAATTAGTTTTGTTTGCTTGTTTTGACCCAGTGTCTCCTAGGCTGGCTCTAACCACTCAGTCCTCTAGCCTCAGCCTCCTGAGTTACTGGGATTTCAGGAATGTGCCACCATGCCTGGTTGGTTGGTTGGTTGGTTGGTTGGTTGGTTGGTTGGTTTTAAGAATCCAATTTAGGGTGGGGGATGGAGAGTTGACTCAGAGGTTAAGTGCACTAGATGCTCTTCAGAGGACACAGGTTCAAGTCTCAGCATCCACATGGCAGCTCACAACCATCTGCAAGTGTAGTTCCAGGAAATCCAAGGATACCAGGCACACATGTGGTATGTAGACATACATGCAGCCAAAACATCCATTAAAATAATAAGATAAGTTATTAAAAAGAACCTAATTTGGAGAGGCAGGCGGATTTCTGAGTTCAAGAGTTCGAGGCTAGCCTGGTCTACAGAGTAAGTTCCAGGACAGCCAGGGAAACCCTGTCTCGAAAAAAAAAAAAAAAAAAAGAACCTAATTTGGAATGTTCACTGATAACTAGATAGAGTCTCAAAGCCATAACTTTGATATCCTGAGACTCCCAAGGGGGCAGAAGTGATTATGTCAAAAAGGAATGTCAACATACACTCTACTGCAGATTCATGCATCTAAAAACAAGGTTCTCATAAATTATTAAGAAAAAAAATTACTAAGGAGTAAGGAAAATAAAAGTTGACCTTGAATATTTGTATGAGATGGCTCCGCAGTTAAGAGCAGCAGCTGTTCTTCCAGAGAACTCTGGAAGATTCCCTGAATCCACACGGCAACTAGCAACTGTAATTTTAGTAATTGTAACTCCAGTCCCAGAGGGTCCGATATTCTCTTCTGGCCTCTGCTGGCACCAGGTCATGGTACACTGATATACATGCAGACAAAGCATGCATATACATTAAATAAGTATTCTGGTAAAAATTTAAGATTTGTATTGTTGAATGAATATTTTTCAAGTATTCAATTGCCATCCTCCTTATGGTATCAGAGTTAATGGGAAAAAAACAGAGCCAGGAAGCACCAGGTATGCAGAAGCATGCCTTGGAATGGTTGTCCATGAACACACACAGCCAAACACCCACGTTATTGAAATATGGAAAAAAGATGAAAAGTTCTAAGCCCAGCATGCAGGAAGCAGGGTAGGATTGCCATAAATTCAATGTTGTAAGACCCTCTCAAAGAAAGAGAAGGGTGGATCAGGCAGCAGGGCTGAAGCTCAGTCAGTAGTAGAGGGTTTGCCTGTGCACAAAGCTCTGGGTCTGATAATGCAATCCTGAAAAAAAATTATAATCCTGTCTTTATCTAGAAATATGCATGAGAATAAAAACTCTAGGCATAAAGTTATAAAATTTCTAATAGTAATTATCATTTGATATGATGCATTTGATCATATGTACATTTTTCTATAACTTAAGCTCGTTTGTATAATATCTACAAAAATTATATGCGCAAGAGAAAAAGCAGAACTAATGCATCTGAGGGGGAGATGGGTTGCTTCACATTTGTGGTCAGGAGCTGGTGGACTGATTCCTTGGAGCTCGAGCAATTTCAGAGGGCTTTGTTTATTTGGCAGCTAAGTGCCTTTTGGCTAGATTTCAGCTTTCCTAACGTCACCACCACTGTTCCTGGGCCTCATCCCTTTAGCTTTTCTTATAACTCATGGGGAGTCCAGTTGTGCCCCTCTTCCCATGTGCTGAGAAAAGATGACACAAAGGAAGAGCCATGGCTGCTAATTAAGCGCCATGTGATTGGCTAATGGATCATCTGGTACTTTAGCAACATTTTAGCTTTTAACATTTTAACATTTTAACATTTTAACTCTGGAGTTATCCGGCTCATTAGCCCCCCACTTACATCAGAAAAGTCCAAGTCTATTTACTAGGTGCCTAGATTGCCACTTTGTTATCAATAAATGGAACTCCCCACAGAAATTCACCCAGAAAGTTAACTGATACATTGTGATGCTTTGTCATTGCTGGTACAGTGTGTGAATAATGATATATATCAAATGATAGTTCAGGTTCCAGAAGATGACAGAATCGGCCTACTCCTCCACCTTTTTGTTTGCCTGTCTTGCAGAGCTGGGAGTTGGGGGTGAACTCCAGGCCTCAGCTGGGCAAGCACCTGCCACTAAACCACATCACTTAAACTTCCCTTTTAAGCTGGCAACATTGTTGTAATTGGTTCTTCCACATGCTTAGTATTATGAAACTGGTGTGGATTTTTGTTCTTCCTAGGTGGTTACGAACCATTTCTATCATCCTGTTCTTGAACAAACAAGATATGCTGGCAGAAAAAGTCTTGGCAGGGAAGTCAAAAATCGAAGACTACTTCCCGGAGTATGCCAACTATACTGTCCCTGAAGACGGTAAGATGTCAAACACAGTCTCACTTACAATCAAAGGCTCCAACTGTTCTTTTCTGATAGTCCTGTAACTGTAAATCGGAGATGTCTGATGAATCCAAGAAATTGCCTCTGATGAAACCCCCCTCCATGCTGTCCACTCCTAAAGTATTAGAGTACAGGGTGAGTAACCCAAACACTTGGAACCAGAAGTGTTAGGGAGTTTAGAATTTTTTTCAATTTTGGAATGTTTGCTTATCTGGGAGATACGACTGATATTTCATCAAGCCCCAAATTCCTTGAATGTTGAAATGTGTTAGTATTCACTTCAGATACATAGCATGAGGGTTTCGACTAGCCTGTGACATGAAGCCAGATGTGAGAGTTTCCACTTGTAGTATGTCAGTACATGAAAGGTTACCAGATGTGGAATAGTTGAGATTTTCAGAGTAGGGATCGTTAGTCGCTATTCAAATATCCTACATGGGATTTTACTTGTAAGTGGTTCAGATTTTGACTTTTCCATTGAAGCTGTGCCACACAGGGAAGGGCTGTTTGAATGTGTGACTGTGTCATCCTAGGGAAGCTCTCTCACATCACCAGGTGGATCTTTTGTGACCAGGCATATCATTCAAACCCCATCTAGTAACCCTACCTGGTGGCTTTTGTTAATTTTCCCGTGGAACAGTGGTTCTCAACCTGTGGGTCATGACCCCTATGGGGGGAGTCACATATCAGATTTCCTACATATCAGATATTTAGTTACAATTCAGAACAGTAGCAAAATTACAGCCATGAAGTAGGAGCAACAAAAATAATGTTACGGTTGGGGATCGCCACAACATGAAGAACAACGGTGTTAAAGGGTTGCAGCGTCAGGAAGGTTGAGAACCACTGCCATAGAACAAGAGAAGTGTGGAGGTGCCACGCAGGTGGAGTCGTGAAGGCAAACAGACTTCCATCACCTGGTGTCCACGCGTATACTGTGGTTTGCATGGCCCTTGGTGGCAAGACTGATGGCACCCACTGGGTGACCAGCTGCACTGCCTCCTGAGATGGAGAGTCCAGTGCTAAGGGGAGGAATATAAACCAGAGTTTGTTGCCCACATCTGGTTGTGCTTTAGTTTTTGCGCACGTGGGCTGAGCCTCTGGGAGTTTCTAAGAGTGATTTGCTAAAGGAAAAGTAAGACCATTTCTAAAAATGTGAGCCCATGAACTCAATAAAGCCAAACGGAATGGGTGTTCCTAGAGTTGGAGTTGAGACCACATGTCCTTACCGATAGCAAGGGTAGAGAAACCTCAGCTAGCATGAAGTGTCTTTGCTCCTTATGGTCTCCTCTGCCCGTCATCCTGGGAGCCTCAGCTTTACTGCATTCCTAGAAAAATCCTAGGGGACCATTCACATCAGCCGTGACTGCAGGGTAGTTCCTGGTGAGACTCAACAGATGCTGGGAAAGAGCCTGGCATACAGTCCCTGTTCTATCTAAAGGGTATAGCCTCTTCTTTGTAGCAAACAACAAGCAGCCTGGGCTGGCCAGAGCATCCCCTGTTAGCTTAGCACCAGCCCTGACTACAACTGCTTTGTTTCTGTTTCATGTGGTTCTTTGGTTGGTTTGGAAGTTTGTTCTTGTTTTGTTTTTTGAGACAGTGCCTTACCATATAACTCTGGCTGGCCTGGAATTCACTATATAGATAGACCAGTCTGTCCTTGAATTCATAAGCATGCAGGATCACTTGCTTACACACGCACACACATACCTGACACCTCCTGACTCCCCAAGGATTAAAGGAGTACACCACCACCCCCAGCTATAGGCACTTTTGAAGTCAGAGCATACTCAGATCTCACCTCACAGTCTGGTCAGTTGCTATCCCAGGGTAAGCCATGGCTCTTGGAAAAGCTATCCAGGCATGGCTTCAGTTGCTATAGCTAGCTTCTTCATCTTCCGAGGACATTGTCTTGCTCGCTCTCCAGATACCACTTGCCTCTCACTACATTCTAGTCCAGCCAACAGATGAGTTCTGTGGAACCTCATTCAAACAGCACATCTCCAGATGTGGTCCTGACCTCACTCACTCCCCTCTTCATTGACTCAGTTTCTAGCTCAGCCTTCATGGTGGTGCACATGTGTGTGCCTGTGTGTATGTGTGCCTGTGTGCCTCTGTGTGTGTGTGTGTGTGTGTGTGTGTGTGTGTGTGTGTGTGTGTGTGTAGTTGCCTTCCTGGAGCATTTTTGGATTTCTGACACAGCCACCTTTCTAAAGCACAAACTCATCTGCTTATGCCCCATCACAGGGCATCAGCCCTGGTGACACCCTGCTCTTCGTGAGGAGGTAGAGCTTCCCAGCCAAGGAACACCAAAGGGATCCATTGTGACAGCTGAAAGACCTTAGTTCCAGTCACAGTGCCAAACACAATAACTGGTGCTCACCTGGTACCATATGTCCAGTCTGTCTGTGACTCCCAGGGCACCCATCCCTCCCTGGGATGGGTGATGACTGCTGGTAGCCTGAACTCACCATCCAGCTTGGTGATCCTCAACTCTGACTTAGCAAGAAAAGCAGGAAATGTGGGTCCACGCAGCACGAGTGAAATGCACAGTAATTACACAGAATGAAGGAAATCTGAACCAGGAGGACTCAAGCCATGCAAAGTGTAGGAAATATACCACCCGTAGAGCCAGGATCATGCTTGCATGTTGGGGAATGGGAAGAGAGGGCTGCAGAGGGACGTGGGGCATATCTGGGGCTGTTGCTACATGGTTGTTTTGATCATTCATTATTCTGATCATAGTGATAATTTGATTGGCCGGTACATGTCAAAATGTATCAACATGTACATTTGAAATATGTCCAGTTTAGGATCTGTAAGTCAGCCCTCCATAAAAACAGTGCTCAGTTCCAGCAGATAAATGGTCAGAGTCTCTCCAAAGGTAGAAATGTCAGCAAACCCAGAGGTTCTAGGACATGCTTGGATCAAAAGCCAGAGGGTCTGCTGCAGTACACTTCCAAGGGCCCCCAGTGTGAGTCTGTGAAGTAGCTAGTAAAAGCAAGACTTTTATTTTAAAAGCTGAGTACATCCCAGACAGTACAGCCTTCCTCTCTACCTTAGCTTGAAAGAAGAAATGGAAGAGGGAGGGGCTCGGCTCGGCAGAATTTAGTGAGAACCTTTGTTGAGCAGGTGATCCTTACCCTAACCTGTCTGTCTGTGTTGCTATGAAAAAATTCCTTAGACAGGGGGATTTATAAACAACAGAAGTGTTCTAGAGACTGGGAAATCCAGTACAAGGGACTAGCAGATGTGGAGACTGAGGAGGCCTGCTCTCTTCACTGAGCTCTGCGTCCTCAGCCAGTGGAAAACACCAACAAGCTCTTCCAGGTTCTTTTCTTATGAGCACTGTACCCCACTCATCATGGCAGAGCCCCTCATAATGGGGTCATCTTACTTGCTGATACTGCGATGAGGAAGACAGCCTGAGGAAAAAATATACAGCATTCAGACCACAGGATATCCTATGTCTTCTCAGAGTTCTGTGTGAATTAAAATGCTTTGGGAGAAAAAAAAAGGAACATTACATCTAATTTTTTTCCCTGTCATGCATGTATGTTGATGCCATGAATAGATGCATGAATAAACCCATCTCGGTATAGCATTGCCACACTTCTGTATCTTTGCTTCCTATCAGCTAAATAAAATTTCATTTTTAATTATGACAGCAACACCAGATGCGGGAGAAGATCCCAAAGTTACAAGAGCCAAGTTCTTTATCCGGGATCTGTTCTTGGTAAGTGGTTTTCCTGCCTTTTTGTTTTCTGCCACCTTATGGTTTCCTTGTTCCCTGAAGTTCACTCATTATTCTTTCAAGTTCTCACTGTTGAGAGCCAAGGAGAAGCAACTACCCTGCCCCAGCCCATATCCCGCACTCTCAATCCCCCACCTGAGCACACTGACTCCAGAGAGGTTTGATCTCTCACCCGGTTCCATAAAGCTCCCAGCATACTTGGAAGGGACCAGAAGGTAACAGGGCTACACCATTCACGTGTGTCTTCCAAACAGAAGCAAGTTCTTCTGCAGAGTCTAAAGTACACACATTCAAACCGTGGTATCTGCTTCCTCCATCCAAAAGAACCAGCAGAATGACATGAAAATGAACTTGACCAAATTCTGTGCCCCTCCCTTTCTCAGCTTGCTATATACTTTTATTTTTGGTTTATTAGTTTGTTTTGTTTTTCAGTATCTTATATGCTAGGCAAGCATTATATCACTGAGCTACATGCCAGTTCTTGGTTTCTTGAAGATGAAGTATATATAGCTCAGGCTGGCCTCAGAATCACTGTAGAGCCCAGGCTGGGCTCTAATCTATATTCCTCTTTCCTCTGCCTCTGGGATTATAGGTGCCTGTCAGCAGGCACTGCACATTTGTTGTTACTGTTTTGGAACCTACTGTGTGTAGCTGGCTTTGAACATTTTACTAGTTTAAAAAACTAGGAAACGCCAAGACATTCCCAAGGGTATGTTCCTATTAAGACTCTCTTTTTGGTACAGATGCTGACAGCTGTCCAATTCTAGATAAGTGAGAATCTTGCTCAGTCAGTGCAGATGGTCCACAACCTTCCCACAGGTCTCCTTTTGTCCCCTTACCGCTATAGCCTTGGGATAGGTTTCCTTTCCAAAACCCTATGGTAGTTAGAAAATAACCACCTGAAGAGACAGGTTCCATGCCTGGGGTGTGGCTCAGTGAGACTGCACTTAACCCAGCATGCATAGAGCCCTGAGCTCCAATCATGCCCCTAGAGAGGAACAAAAGTCTCCCAGGATGAGAAGGACAGAAGGGGGAAGCTACAACTCTGTGAATTGGAGACCTTCCAGGTTAAACAGTGAACCAATTCCCTGTCGTTGGTGTCTTAGAGCCTTTATTGTGCTAATGCCCGGTTCCAGCCTCGTGCTTGCTAGGCAAACACTCTACCGCTGAGATTCATTCCAATTCTTGTTTTTAATTTTGAGACTAAATTGCCCCCTCTCACCTTGAACCTGTGGTCCTCCCAACTTAGTCTCCCAAGTAGCTAAGACAGCAAACCTATGCCATCATATGCAGCTTGGAAATTGTTTCAGTAAGGGAATATATTTTATAGTAAATCAACAGGTTCTTTTTTTTTTTTAACACTGTAAGGCCATAAAATAAAGACACATGTTTTTTTAAAAGGTTATAAAATGCTATCATAACATGAACTGAAATCCAAATGTTGGACATTTAAAATGAGGATTTAAAAAGATCTATGCCCCCACCAGTGCACACTCCAGCCTTGGACAACTCTTGTCTTCCCTGACTGAGAACAAAACCCAGCTTGGATGCAGTTTGCCAGCCAGGGACTGTAAGGGTCCAGGGAACTAGCACACATCTTGACTTGGCCTATGGCAGTGGGAGACTTAAGTAGTTAGAACTCACAGCTTCAGGGCAGAGACAGCAGGCAGACTACAGGGCTGGGGCTTCGGCACTTGCTCCATCTGTGCAGAAATGATTCTGGCATGATTTAATGACTTTGGCAATTCAGGCCTCAAGGAGACTAAAGGAAAGATGTAGAAGGAGTGGGGAGGGTAAAATGAATGGAGTTTCTTTTGAAGAAGAGAAGAAGGTGGATCATGTAGAAGAAGGAGTCGATTCAGGAGGAAGTCTCCTGTGAGAGAGGGTCACAAGCAGAGTGCAAGCTCTCCTTAGCTGGAGATTCAGTCATTGAAGTCGCTGAGTAAGGACAGCACCGGGCATGGCTCTGTGTCACACAAGCCTCCCACTCCCACAGGAGAAGGCAGGAGCCATCCTCCACAGACCAGAGGAACTTAGGACCAGATGGCCAGAAACAGGAGAGCCAGACAGTTACCCCACAGGGTCCTGCCAGTCACTGCAAGCAGCTCTGTCCCCCAAAATTAGCAGTGAATTGGCCTTTAAGACCAGTTATAGTGGCTAAGAGGTTTATACCGGTGTTAAAGTTCTGAGGTAACAGGAATGCACTACCATGTCCAGTTTCGTGGGATGTTGGGAATAATCGTGGTTGCATGACAGGCAAGCACTGACCGAGCAAGTCAACTGAACTACATCCTCAGCCCATTACTGTGTCTTAGCACTCAGAATTATAACAGGCTTGTGTCTCCTAGACTACGCACCCATGTTCGATGAACTGGTTTGAGTTTCATCTTGAGCAACCTCTCCTCAAGTCTCATGAGTTGGGCCACAGTCACACAAAACTATCCAGATCTCCTTTTTATTTTTATTGTTATTTACTGAAACATGACCTTGCCATGTAGCTCTATCCGGCCTGGAACTGGCTACATAACCTAGACTGATCTCACATTTAAAGTTGACTTCCCATGCTTCCTAAATCCCAGGATTAAAGGCATAGGCACCTTACTACCAGGCTTGTCCAATGTAAACGATAAATTCATTTGTTTTGTTTTATTTGTTTAATGAAAGACAGTGGATGAATCAGGTTCAATGAGAGATCTAGGCTGTTTGAAGTTTTCAGATTCAGTCTGATAGTTACTCACTCCCTAAATGTTCACCCAAACAGGGACAAGCTAGTAAATTACAGAAGAAAATCTGTTTCTATCCCTTCTGTATGTACTTGTTCTATACATCCTGGTCAAATACCCTACCTGGTGCATTAGGGCCAAAAGACATTCATGTCTCTGTCCTTAAGCCTAAAAATGAAAAACTAGGGCAGGGCTATAGCTCAGTGATAGAATACTCCGCCTACCTCATAATGTTTGAGGCTCTGTGTTTTCTCTCCAGCAACAAACACACTCACAGGGTAAGTTACCATCTATTCTGACCCCTCTGAGAAGTGTTGTAATCAGATGAACATTTCTCCAAGAGACTTTCTGTTGCCCTAACAGCTCCCTCTTTTCTGTGTCTCAAGATGCTTTTCAGCCAAAAGACGTTGAACAGGAAGCCCTGGAATTCTTCCAGTTGCCATGTATAGCTAGAAAGCTGTGTCTGGTTCTGCTGGGGCTTTGGGAGTTGCCAAAATCACATCCCATTGCCTTGCATCCCACAGACAAGAGATCTAACCAACAGAAATGCTTCCTCACAGTTCTGGATGTTGATGTTTATAATCAGGTGCCAGCAGAGGGTCTAATCCTGAGCTACTCTTCCTGGCTCATGGATGCTGAGGCAACTCTTCTTGGCTCATAGATGGCATCCCCACTTTGTGTCCCCATGATCAACATCTGTATGTCTGTCCTGAACTCCTTCCCTTGCAGGAGCACAAGTTGTGGGGACCCAAGCTCAAGCTAATGACTTTAACCATAATTGTCTCTTTAAAGATCTTGTCACCAAAATGTAGGCACATCCTGAGGCACTGGAGAGTTCAGATCTAACAAAGAAGTTTCTATTGCTTCCCACACTGACAACAAAGAAATTTTCTCCAAGACACTACACATGTACACATACACACACACACACACACACACATACACACACATATACACACATACACACATACACAAACATACACACACATACACACACACACATACACACACACATACACACATACATACACACACATACAAACACATACATACACAACACATTCATATACACACACAACACACACATATACACACACAACACACACAACACACACACACACAACACACACACATACAACAAGCAACATTCTGCTGCCAGCCAAGATCACCTGTGTGGAGAAGGAAGATCGATGACTGAGATACAGCCTAGCACATATGGATACTTAAATAAATTAGTCGCACGAGGTGTCTCAGGCCTGTGGTGAGGCAGGAGGATGGCTATAGCTCTGGTGTTCAAGGTTGGTGTGGGCAGTATAGCTAGATTGTGCCTCAAAATAGATATAAATTAATTGAAACTGAATTAGAGAGCAACTCCTCCCCCTATCCCAATGGCAGGCACTAGTCACAGTAGCTACCACATAAACGGGCAGAATATATTTCCACTAGCTGAGTTCTGTTCACCAGAGCAACACAGACAGAGGCCAGTTCTGGAGTTCTTAGCCTACCCTGCCCTCTCCAAGGCCCGCACTACGTTTCAGCTCAGACTCAGTGCCTAATGCAAAGACAAACTTGTCTGTCCTGGCACATGCTTGGTATCTAGAGTTTGTGAAGGCAGCAGCCAGTCAGCCTTAAGTCCTCTCTGGTCCCTATATAAAGTGTCCCCTAAGCTATCCCCCCATTTGATTGCCCTGGGCCCTGTCATCCTAAACATTACACTCTTTTTACAGAGGATCAGCACAGCCACGGGTGATGGCAAACATTACTGCTACCCTCACTTCACCTGCGCCGTGGACACAGAGAACATCCGCAGAGTGTTCAACGATTGTCGTGACATCATCCAGAGGATGCACCTCAAGCAGTACGAACTCTTGTGAGGGCTGCCTACCGATCCCCCTCCTCCTCACTGCCACCTCTCCTCCCTCTTGACTACCCCTTGAGGTGGTGTATCTCCCTAGCCTGCGTGTTTGTCCACCCTGAGCCATGGTAGGGCGTAATGAGTGTCTAGTGTCATCAGGCTGCCGTCTGTCCTGTCCTAGGTATGCCTACATGTGACCACCAAGCCTTTGGCTACCTCTGTTCCCCAAGGTTTGGTTCTGTAACTTTGTTTTCACCAGACTAAACAGCCTCCCACCACCAATTTGTATCACTGCAAAGCCACCAATTCTCACTTGGGTGATACGGCAGTGGGTTTTCTCTGGGTGGGAATCTGTTTATTCTTTGACTGAATGGTTGATGGGTTGAATCATCAGAGACACCTTGGTGAATGGGGGAAATACATTGTTTTCAAGTTATCAAGCATGATCACAAAACCATCCGGACAGTGCCATGCGCTTGATTTTTTTCCCTTTATAAAATGTCAGGCTACCAGGTGTCTGCCCCTTCTGGTCTGCATTGGCCCAAAGCTTAAAGTAGACGCAAGTCAGCAACAGGACAAGAGGAACTTTTTCAGCCACAGTTGCAATAGCTGTAAGCCTTGGGCATTTGGGCTAGAGCACTTCTTGGAGCCTTTTACACTTGGGCAGAAGACCTGCCCCATTCACCACTGCAAATGGTGTCCTGTCTATAAACAAGGGGTCCTCTACACCTTCATGATAGCTGGGCATAGTCCTTCCTATCTTCTTTCTGTTGTTGCTTCACTAGACTGTACAGACCACAAGATGTAATACTCTTTTCTATGGCTACTCAAGAAACCTCCTTGTAGAGTTCTGTGCCTTGGTGGCGGCCACACCTGTAAGGACACATGTCCCAACTGTGCCCAGCAGCTTGCACACAGCCTGCTGCTTCACCGTGGCGAATCAGTAGTATCTGTTCACCTTAGGATACATTTATCAGGTTGGTACTTCTGGAAGACTCGCTGATTTTAGAATCATGCACTTTACCAGCAGTAAACTGCTGCTGGTATCATCCCAACACTGAAACTATTGCAGCTACCCACTTTTACTGCCCCAAACCTCAGCTGCTGCAAACACTGGGATGACCCACTTCTGAGGCATACATTACAATCAATTCTTTCTTCAGGGTACTAAGGGGTTCCCCACCCTAAAATGTTTCTCATGACCCCTACAAGTTCTGTAGGCAGGAGCAAGCCAACCATCCCTTAGTTAAGTTCTCTACAGTCCACCAAACAAGAAACCAGTGGTCAGAGGAAAGCATAGTGGTGTCAATGTTGCATATGACTGACGACAATAAGGATGGCGTCTTCTGAAGATGAAGTACTACAAAGCTACTTATCTCTTATCTGTCTATCTGCGTTGCTAGGGATGAGCCCAGCACCTAGTGCATGCTAGGCAAGCAAACGCTCTACTGCCAGTCCATATCCCCAGCCATCACTCCAGCCCTCACAAAAACCTTTATCTTAAATATAAAGACAAAATAAATGGCTGTTCCTCATGTGTAAGATCTGCAAATGCAACCTCGAGTGACGGTAGGACACCTAGAAAACAACACGCTCACTCTGTCTAAGCCCGAGGCCTTGGGGAGGGGCAGTGTCATTCTCTTAGGATTAAAGTTATCTGTAAAGATGTCCAAAGTTAAGTTCCTGACAGTACAAATAGGAAGGAGTGACAGCCTGCATTGCTCATTCATCTCCTTACTGTTGCTTCAAGTTTATTCCGTAAACTGGCATTGTAGAAATGCTCTAAAAACTCATCCTGGCTGAGATGCTCTTCCATGGAAGGGTACCACACATTCCTCAGCTCCTCATCACTGTCTTCTTGTGCTACTCTGTAACTTTGCACAAAACTTCCAACTGAAGCCAGGCGATGAGGGCACACACCTTTAGTCTCAGCACTCGGGAAACAGAGGAAGGCAGATCTCTGAGTTCAAGGCCAGCCTGGTCTACAGAGTGAGTACCAGGACAACCAGGGCTGCACAGAGAAACCCTGTCTCGAACAAAACAAGTTTCCATCTGAACTGACACATTAAATAACAGTGACTTCCAGTTCCCCTGCACTCTCAAAGCAAAGCAAGAAGAAAAACTTGCACGCACACACACACACACACACACACACATGTGAGGTTTTATCCTATAGTGTGCATTACTACTCAACAGTCCCCTGCTCACTAAATGACTATTGAAAAGTTTTGATGGGGCTGAATGTGTAACTCTGATGGAGCACACGCTTAGCATGCATAAGACCTGAGCTCAATCAAAAGAAAAGAAATATAAATAAAATTAAATCATTAAGAAAAGATCCAGACTCCTTAAGAAAAAGAATGTGCTTTATCTGACAGAATTATTACACCATTTGTTCTTAAATTCAAACATCTATATCCTCCCTGATCTTTTTTTTCAAGTTTTAATCATGAACAGGCATTGAGTTCAGATGCGATAACATGGTCTCCTGGAAAGAAAATTACATGTCTCTAAAAATCCGATTCCATGAGCACAGAAACACGAAAAGTCTTTAGTCCTACACATTGAATCTGTACTTTTGAGCATATAACTTCATGATCTATAAGAAACTGAGAGCCACTTCATAGAAGAAGAGAGAAAACCCAGCTTTTACGAGCACACATAGTCTCGACTGTGCACCAAAGCTGCTGGGTCCTTCCTATAGAAGAAAGGGCTGTGTGTCACGCATGCGAGTGATAGTGTCCATGACATTTACATTCTATACAGATGGAACCTTTGATTATACATATATTTCATGAAATGAAAAGATGAATTGGTTGCAGAGTACACATTCCATTTTTATAGGATGAGAACAGTACAGTCAACTGTTTATACTGCAGTCGCTGGCATTGGTGATTCAGAATCCCCATGATGTTCATAGGAACAACCAACATTTGCTCTCCTCCTTAACTCACAGGAGCCCCGCTGGAAGTCTTTGGCTTTGATTTATATGACCATATGCAACAATTGCCGGCCCTTCATCTTCTCATGTGCAACCTGCACAGTTTCCAACCAAACAGAAAAGATGAGGGCAGATGTTCAAAGTGAACTAAGATGACAATCGTGAGGAAGGCAGCCGCTGCCCCGTACGTGGTCAGCACCGTGTCCTCAAACGGGAGGAAGCACTTGGAGAGAGCGTAATCTCTAGATGTTAGGCTGCCCTGGGGGAGAAATAGAAAGTTTATGCTGCAGGGTAAGTCCCAGGTATAAGTCTGACCTAGAGGCTGTCTTCTAGGTTCCCTCATGTGTGTCTGGGAGGGAAGAACCCTCTTTACCCAGGACCAAGAGGCTTCAAGCATGACAAATCACCACTGATCACACAGGAACTGGCAAAACAAAGAAGCCAAAGATACACTGGCTTGGGAAGAAGGTCCAGTATGCTGACCCCTCCATTACAATACTTTCTGCACACAGTAGGGCAGCCCCAGAGAGAGACGAAGACGTGTCAGAGGAATGAGAGGATGAGTGTTTCCCTGCCATTGGATAGCAGAGCAGTCACCCTGTTGCCCAGAAATGCCTCTGCACCTCCATAGGCTTTCCATTGTAGGCAGTGTGGGATCAAGGTAGCAAATGCCTTTACCTACTTGAACTTGAAAGCACAAAGGGCCCCCACCTTTCCATAGCTAGGATTTGGAACAGTAGCCTAAGACTGGGTGCCAGAGCCCATGGTAACAAAGATGGCGTCCACCACGTCAACACCTTTCACAAACTTGGAGATTCTGTAGTACCGTGTACCTGGCACGCTTAGACAATGAGAAATGACCAAGTCTGCCAATGAGTAGACAACTGTTTCCTTAGAAACAAACTGGCATTTGCTGGACTCCACCTCTGCTCCTCAGAGTCTCAGCCCTGAAGCTACATTCTGCCTATTTGTCCCCAGAAAGGTGATTAGAGACAGGTGGTATATCTACTCAGAGTACAAAGAGGGTGATTTATTTCTGGCTTTTGTGTGTTTTTACAGATTGCAGCCATTAAGTAGTTGATGACTGTGTTGATTTCAATACTCAAGAAAGCTTTCAGATAAAAAAAAAAAAATAAAGGTTTACGTTACCATAATGAAGCTTGGGTTGTTTCTGTTCCTCCAACTGAAGGATGGGACGCTCACCTCGGGGGCTCCTCCGGGATGGAGCACCTCGCAGGCACTGTGCGTGTGGCCACTCAGAACCAGACGAGGCCGGAGCCACCACAACAGCTGGTGGCCAAGGATATGCATGTAGACAGTTAGTGTTCTGACTGGCAGTGACACCCCCATGGCTTTGCCAGGACCACACCACTCATCCCATTAGTGTTTACGAATCCTTAAAGCTTGTTCCCCTCAGGTTTCCTAGGAAACCTTAGAACCCACTCTTCCAATTACAGATTCATATATATATATATATATATATATAATTTTTATAAATTTGTTTCATAACTATTTTTCACAAATATATTTATATTTAAAATATAAATTTATATTCACATTTAAGATTTGTATATTTACATTCTAATGTGTATTTCTATATCATAATCCATACATGTTATATATTGTGTGTATATTTCTTTTTTTTTTTTTTTAAAGATTTATTTATTTATTATATATGAATACACTGTAGCTGTCTTCAGACACACCAGAAGAGGGCATCAGATCTCATTACAGATGGTTGTGAACCACCATGTGGTTGCTGGGATTTGAACTCAGGACCTCTGGAAGTCCAGTCAGTGCTCTTAACCACTGAGCCATCTCTCCAGCCCGTGTGTATATTTCTTAAACAGACATTTTTGAGAAAGTACATTTCTAACTGAATCCCCAAAATTAGACTCTAAATTTCATTTGCACTCAATGCATTTACATTGATTTTAAATCTTGCTAATGTAACGATTAGCCGGGAATGTAATTTTCATTGCGATTAGAAAAGAATGGATCTACCAAAGAAGGGAAAAGGGGACAGATTGAGCAGAAATCTGAGAGGTATCAACCCCCCCTTCTCTGCAGCTGGCAACTACAAAGGCCCTGTGTGTCCATTCGCTGTCCCCATGTGACACTGGCATGAGGTCACATCACCACACACCTTTTGTGAGGCCTCCCGAGAAAGAACATCATATTTCTCCTCAAAGGGGACGTTCCTTTCCTCTGGAGGAGCTGCATCTTCACCAGAACAATTAGCATCGCTGGCCCGGTAGAGTGGGTAGTGCTGTCCAAATGAAGCTGACATCAGTGATATTCTCAGAAGCATTGGGTGGCAACTGCCCTTAGACTCCTCCCCCAGCTCACCTGCAGCATCACGGGAGCAGACAAGGGGAGCCGTGGCTCACGGTCACATTGGCTGGATCCCCGCACCTGCTGGTCAGGAGTCACCTTGTTAACCATCAATCTCAGTGGTTACCACTGGGAGAGGAAAAAGGAGCTGGGTGACCAACAGCCAGTGCCCATGACTGAGTGCAGAGGTCTCCTACCTCTTGGGAGCAATTCAGTTTACGAGAGATCTCTCTGAGTTCAGCTTCCTCTTCAGAGCATATGATACAACCATCCCCTTCCATTGCAACGCTGTTGACCATGACAAAACTGAGGTGGACAGGGGCAGGCAGAGAAGGTCAGGCCACTGGACATGTGTGTACCTCGTCTCATTGTCCCCATGGAAATATCACACATCCACAGTGTAATAAAACAAGCCCAAGAGCAGCTTAACGCCAGCTAAACTGGGAGTTCACATTGGTGAAACAAAAATAGCGTTATATCCAAGATACAATGAAGCTGCGCTTCTTTCTGCTACTCCAGATGAAAGACGGGACCAACTTGTAACTTGTAGGAAATCCTACATGGCAGTAGCCATGAGGTCTGACTAGCTCTCAATCCAGCATCCAGTTAGACTTGTAACCTTGGGCAAGCTCCTGAGCCTGTGTCACCTGTGCAGGTGTGGGAAAGACCAGGAAGTCTACACCATCAGCTAAGTGCCAAAGGGTGCTGAAGTAGGCTTGGAAAATCCCTAATGGAGAGGAAGGTCATTGGCTAACCGCTACCTTTGTTACATTTATATGGACTCCCATAAAAATACGCTTTTATTTCCTGTGTATATAACCACCTAGGCATAGGAAAGGTACCTGTCAGCCGGTTGCTTAAAATGTAAACAGATTTTGGTATAAGGAGCTGACGTGGCCTGAAATCTGGTGAGCAGGTATAAATTCTGAAGCACTATAGTTAGGCAGAGGTGACTCAATGACATCAGTCCTGTGGCTATATGGGAAAGGAAGGCACTGCTGGAGAGATTGTCCTCTACCCCACCCCCACCCCCGCAGGGTTATGAAAATGGATTGTTGGTGGAAATACCCACCATACATTCATCACCAGATCTTATAGTGAGGGTCTCGCTACAGTACAATCAGCAGAGTTCTGGGACCACAGAGGGAGGGACAGGTCTAAAACAGAAGATGTTCCCTCTGCTGTGTAGACTAGGGCCGGGCACACAGTTTAAGAGGCTGTACTGTCAACACAAAGCCAAGAAAGGTCCAGAGAGGCCCTGCTTATGATCTCAGGGGGGTGAGGCATCCAATGACCAGAGTAAGGGCAAGCGGCTCTCTTCTAAAGGTCAAGGCTGATGAACTAGAGAGAGCTACAGAAACACCTGGATACACCTGGCACCAAATGCCAGGATGCCATACCTATTAGAGTGACATTCATAAAAATAGTCCAAATACATTTGGATTAAATGAGAGGGTGCTTCAGGATGTACAGTGACGTGTGCCTACAGTCCCAACTCAGGAGTCTGTCACGCAAGAGCAGCATAGACAGATCCTGTCTGCAAAAACAAAACAAGAAGAGCCACAAAGGCACCTCTTTATAGAGTGGGACAGTGCAGCTAGAGTGCCACACCCACACCGAGTGGGCGGAGTCATAGGCTGACTGGTTCACTGTGGGTGGTTCTAGGTTTTCCATCCCTCTGTTCCCACAGTGACCTTCAATCAGCAAGCAAGGTCCAAGCTAACACAGAACAAGGGTCTGACCATGTGACAACCACCTTTGAATGACAGTGGATTTGAGTTCAGTGGGAGGGTCATAGCTGCTCAGCTTCACCCTTCAGGACCTCACAAAAAAAAAAAAATTTCATCTGAATTCATAAATAATACTCACTTAACACCTTTCAGAGAGAACAGCCTTTCAGAGCCGAACACTTTCTCAAATCGCTTTACTCTGTATTTACTCATCCTGCATCCAATGATAAAATGAAACACGTTTCAGGTCAAGCCGAGTTACCATGAACACAAAAAACAACTTCCATAATCTGGCATTATTAACTGGACCCAGGCAACTGAGGATCAAAGGTCAAGTCCACTGCTAATCATGAGACCCCAGTAGAACAATAAGTGACAGCACAGGAACGAGGAGTTGAGGTGCAGAAAGTACTTAAAGTGACTGGCAATGAGCTAGCACACTCCAGTGGGAGCTAGCACACTCCAGTGGGAGCTAGCAAAGGGTACGTGGACTTGTCTGACTTCTAAAATAGTCTGACACTAAATGTACATCTTAATCCAGAGATTGAAGGCAGGGGGATTGCAAGTGAGGCCAGCCTGAACTACATGGTAAGACTGAGTCTCAAAATAGCCGGACGTAGTGACACCTCTAATCCCAACACTTGGGAACAGAGGCAGGCAGAGTTTGGGGTCAGCCTGGTCTACGTAGTGAGTTCCAGTCAGTCTGAACTATACAATGAGCCCTGTCTCAAAAAATTAATTAATTAATAATTACATTTTAACTTAATTCTCCTCATGGTGCACTCTGCTCATTTAGGCCAGATAGTTGTTAAAGGTGTAGATAGGCCAAGATTTTTTTAATTCCTTAAGGAGCCTCCATTTCAGAACTTACACCTTTGATGGAAAGCAAATGTCTTCAGTGAAGCACAACTTTAAACTACCAGTGGTTGAGCGAACAGTCTCGAGGCATACTTTCTTCACACGCTACTTACTGGTAGTGGAAGCCGACGTCATGATTGCCAATGACCACCTTTAGCTGCACATGGCTGCCATGTCTGAACATTCTCTGAAACCTCTGCACGTCATCTGCCCAGGCCTGCGGGAACAAGAACCACAGCTGAGAACCCCAACACCTCTTCCCTCTTCCAGAAACAGGACCCCGCCCCCACGCCCAAGGCAAAGTTTTAATTCTTTTTTCCAAGACATCCAGTAGCAGCTGTGGGAAATACAGGAGAGTTTGCCACAATAAGCTGAGGGATTTTCCACGTAGGGACTCCACACTCAAGGAAGTCAGTATCGTGGCTTAAGACACAGAAAAGAATGTCGGGAAGAATCATAGGAAGCAGAATTAGGTTTAATTTTTTTTTAAGTTTTTAGATGTATTTATTATATATAGTGTTCTACCTGCATGTATGCCTGCAGGCAAGAAGAGGGCACCAGATTTTCTTATATTTGGTTGTGAGCTGTTGTGTATTTGCTCGAAATTGAACTCAGGACCTCTGGAAGAGCAGCCAGTGCTCTTAACCTCTGAGCCATCTCTCCCCAGAGCTAGGTTTATTAAGTGTCCACATTAGAGATTTAGGAGAAGGTAGCCTGGCAATGGTGGTGGACGCCTTTAATCCCAGCATTTGGGAGGCAGAGCCAGGTGGATTTCTGAGTTCAAGGCCAGCCTGGTCTACAGAGTGAGTTCCAGGACAGCAAGGGCTACACAGAGAAACCCTGTCTCGAGAAATCAAATAGAGAGAGAGAGAGAGAGAGAGAGAGAGAGAGAGAGAGAGAGAGAGAAGAGAGCATTGATGAGAGGACGTGCAAGAGACTTGACAGCTATGGTTCTGTTATTTTTGAAGTCACATTGTACAAAGGATGTCATTTGCAACAAGGCTGAAAGAATGAGTTTTAAATTAGGTAAAATAAACACGAGCTACTTTATGTATTTCTCATCTTGAAGAATTTCCATTCTCAGCCATGGGCCTGTTGTAATTCCAACATCCCAGACATCAGCGTGGGAAGATCACGCTAGTTGAAGTTTTAAGCCACTAAACTAACTTATAATGTTTATACAGTGAGTTTCAGAGCAGCCAGGGCTAGACCCTGTCTCAAGAACAAAAATAAAGAAACAGAAATTTCCTTTTATGGATGAAATTGTAAGGTAGATTATGAAGACTACTATTCAAGTTCAGTGATGAGAGGAAAAAGTTGGTAGGTGCCCTGGTTTGTTTCTGCTGGGATAAAACACAGACCAAAAGCAACTTGGGAAGGGAAGGGCTTATGTTAGTGTACAGGTTATCGTCATTCATCAAGGGAAGCTAAGACAGGAACTTGGCAGCAGGAAACCAGAGACAGGACCTGAAGAGTCAACCACCCAGGAACAATCATGACTGGCTTGCCTCTAAGCACTGGCTTACTGTGCTGTCTGGTTTTGTGTGTCGATCTGACACAAGCTGGAGTTATCCCAGAGAAAAGAGCCTCCCTTGAGGAAATGCCTCCATGAGATCCAGCTGTAAGGCATTTTTCTCAATTAGTGATCAAGGGAGGAGACCCCAGCCCATTGTGGGTGGTGCCATCCCTGGGCTGTTAGTCCTGGGCTCTATAAGAAAGCAAGCTGAGCAAGGCAGAGGAAGTAAGCCAGTAAGTAAAATCCCTCCATGGCCTCTGCATCAGCTCCTGCTTCTTGACCTGCTTGAGTTCCTGTCCTGACTTCCTTTGGTGATGAACAGCAATGGCAAGTGTAAGCTGAATAAACTCTTTCCTCCCCAACTTGCTTCTGGGTCATGATGTTTTGTGCAGGAATAGAAACCCTGACTAAGGCACTTACCCTCAGCTACCTTTTTTATACAACCCAAGATCGCTTGTCTGGGAGTGGCTCTGCCCATGGTGAACTACCCACCCTCTACAAGCCCTCCATCAATTAGCAATAAAGAAAAAATGTTCAAGGGTCAATCTGATGAAAATAATATCTTAAGTGAGGGTCCCTCTTCCCACATGTCTCTATAGTTTGTCAAGGTTCCAAAACCTAACCAGCACAATAGGGTTAACTGCAAAAGTACATGCTGACCCTAAGCAAGGATGATCCATTTACTGGTTTAACACCCTCTTTCAAGAGCTCCAAGAAAAACAAGTCTTATCTCTTTGACAGTCCTCCCTGATAGTTTTTAAGTTTTTGACTCTCAGTCCATAACAGATTATTGGGGAGATGGCTCTGCTGCTTTTGCAGAAGACCTGAGTTTCATTCCCAGAATCCCCATAGCAGCTTACAACCATCTGTAGCTACAGTTCCAGGGGATCTAACATCGTCTCCCAGCCTCCGAGGGCACTGCATACACATGGTGCAGGTAAAGACTCATATGCATAAAATCGTTAAAAGAAGAAGGAGGAAGGGAGGAAGAGAGAGGGAAGAAGAGGAGGAAGAGGAGGAGGAGGGAGAGGAGGAGGAAGAGGAGGAGGAGGAGGAGAAGGAGAAGGAGAAAAGGAAGAAAAAAGAAGAAGAAAGAAGAAGAAAGAAGAAACAAACAAACATGGCTTTGGACCTCACAATTTAAATTCAATCCTGGGACTGACATGGTAGAGAGAAAGAAGCAACTCCTTCAAGTTGTCATCTGACCTCCATACATGCAAGCATATGCACATACTCATTAAATAAAAAGATGTTAAAAAGTTGCTCGTGAACATGTATAAACTTTTTTCTTCCTGTCATCATTCTCTGAACAATGTGTTTTGCCTGTTTCATTGATGTGGTATTTGCCAGGCTGCATGTCTTGCAGCTGAGTGCCTGGAGGACCAGCATGCACTCAGGGAAGGCAGGTACCCCGTCCTAGCTTGCCACTGGGAGTTGGGAAAAAGGTTGAGGACCTTCCTCTCAGCGCATCTATGTACCAGGCAGGAAATGGAAGGCTGGGCCTGGGAGGAGGGGTTCCACATGAGTGCCAAGAGTATGGAGGGGATAGAAGAGCAAAGGCCTTCTCCAGATTTAGGGAAGGCTCTTTACAATAAGACCTCCCCACCCTGTGGTGATCCTTGGTGAAGAAACATCCTCGCTTGTCCTAACTACTTTGTTTGATGGTGAATGTCAATGCATACACCTTACTCAGGGTGAACCAAGGATTAAATACCTTTTGCAGGAAGGAAT